TTGGCGCATCCGACTAGGCATTTCCTTGGTCATCTTGATCAAGCCATCGATAGATTGACGAAGCTTTCTCGGCTGCACGCTTGTCCAGAGCATGTCCCTAAGGTCGTTAAGGCTCTTCCAGATTGTCGACAGGGCAGCCCAGACGGACATGAAATCCTGGACCTCTTCCAGAATTGCAGGCAGGGAAGACTCAACGCCTGCCGGGAGATCAAGAGCCTCTTTCGCCTTCGAGACCATCTCATATTCAGATTGGAGAGATTCGAGACGAGACTGGAACATGCTCAGGGTACGAGATGCTTCTTCGGGAGGAATAGTACCAGACACTGGCTTTTCCTCGTTCCACTGGCTGATGACTTCCGTGATCTTGTCGCTGATAACCTTGTCCTCTGCCGAAATTTTTGCGCGCAATCCTTCTGTTTGATCTTGGACGATCTTGCTCTTTCGTGCGAGCAATTCGTTCAGCGCGGCCCATTCACCATCGACGTTTTCTACGTGAAGCCAATCGCTAGGGAACTGATAGCGTTGGCGTGCGAGCGTGGCCTGACCTTGCCGGAAAAGGTCAACCTCCGGTTCCCAAACCTTTGCCTTGCGCTTGCATTGCTGAACAATTGTGATGAATGAAACAGCATGCGCCGTGGAGGCAGCCTCCAGGGTCTGTCCTTCGAGGTCGCGTCGGGCAGCGGCAATCTCGGAATGAACCTCTCTCATCCGGCCACCGAGCTTGGAGCCGAATCTCAGCAAGATCTCATGTTGCCACTGGTCATACTTCGCATTGACCCGGGTCTGAACCTGCTCGTAATCGATCTTGATATTTCCGAACGACTTGCTCACTTCTGAAGTATCGAACGTAGCACGGCTCTTGCGAATCTCCTGGAGTAGCTGAAGCCACTGAGAGAGATCGTCACCGAGAATGTCATAGACTTGTTCGGACTGCAAATCCCAGAGTGACTGGAACTGCAGCCACTTGTCGACATACGCAGACACTTCACTCAACCTCGATTCGACTGCATTGTAGACTTGGCTCAACTCGTTGGTACAGTGCTGTGGGAGAGTGGCGAAGCATGCTTCAGACAATTGGACCTTCTGTACGTCAATCGAGATCTGATAACGAGACGATTTTATCTTCTCGAGGTTGCAGATCACACCAAGCCAGTTATCAAAGTGCGAGAACCAGCTCGCGCGAGCATATTGGAGCGGTGGGTCGAGATGGAGGAACTGGTTGCGCATGGAGATCTCGTGGGTGAGTTCCGGAAATTTGATGTTGTACGAGAGCGTCTCTCCTTCACCTGTCTGCACTCCGCTAGACGTTTGAAGGCTCTGAGAACTGTACGTTGCTTCCTGGAACGAGTTGATCCATTCGCGAATAGCACGATGGAGACGTTCGCGCAAGATGCCTTCGATCTTCTGGTTCAAGTTCGCCACCCAGTAGCCAAGGTTAACATAGTTCTCAAGATTCAGCTTATCCACAGCAACTTGGATGGCGTCCAGGCGCTGCCTAAATGCAGCTGCTTCGTAAGGGCAAGTCTTGAGTTCATGAGTTGCTTTCTGGATGCTCTCGTTGATCGAAGCCAAAACAGCCGTCTTCGACTGAAGTACCGATGCTGACCCAGCGAACTCCCTGACGAATTGAACATGCTTGCTCTCGCCTCTGGTCGGGATAGCCGCGTCAATAGCTCCATTAGCCAATGCCGACTGCTTGACATGAAGTTCATAGGAATGGACAAATGATTCCCAACGGAGGGGAACACCCTTTATGATCATACTCTGGGTGTCATTGACGTAACCGTTCAAAAGAATCGCAACTTCAGTCATGGCCGCAATAGAGCGATTGGTTTGGAGCAAAGTTCTGACACTCTCCATCAAACTAATGGCGTACGGGTACACGCGCTTGGCCTCCTTCGAAATGTTGCTCACCGCATGGGGTACCTGGAAATTGAGCCAGATGAGGTTTCTGACCTCCTTGAAAAGAGCAATAATCTGCGCGTCGAAATTGACGGTCAGCTCGAACGTGTTTCCTGCGGCTCTGTTACGGACGATATTGAACAGACGTCCCGATATCGTGATATGCCGTCTTTGCACGTCATGTAGCCAGGACTCGAAGACTGGTCGAGTGTCCAACTTCTTCCGGAACAGATTGCTCTCAGCCAGAAGCTTCTGGCCTTCGGAATGCAAGGCCCAGTCCTCTCCGAGCACGTTTGCTACCTTGCCCATATAGCCATCCAACTGATGTTCAATCTGACGTGCCCAAACGATAGCGCCTGATACGGGGGGCAGATCTCGCAATTGCGCCATAGCATGTGCCTCAGAGTGGCCATACTGCTGCTTGAACCGCTCATGCAGCGAAGAAATGTCCTGCTTGACATTTTCGATGAGCTGAGTTTGGTACTCGCCGATTGCACCGCGAATCTTCGGGCGGACGAGAAGAGCATTGAACTTCGAGAAGACGCGGAACATCTCGTTTGCGTTCTTTGCGGTAGCAAGACGATCACGCAGACGGGCAATGATCGAGTTCTCCACGCGGGAAGTACGTTCATTGTACGCGATCTCCTCCTTGATCCACAGCTGAGTGCCTTCAGGAGAAACATCGAGCACATCCACGTTCCGCAGAGCGGCGTAAGCTTGCGCTACCTCTTCAACCGCGTCGACATCGCCGATTTCCTCGACGATAACGGCCCCGTCAGAACCAGCTCCGGCAGCCGTATCTCCCGCAGACGTACTCTTCGGGCCAAGGACGTTGACGATCGTTCGCTGCAGCTGCTCATGGTTGACCCGGAATGTGTTGATGTATTTCAATCGTTCCTGCGTCTTTTCATGGCGCGCGGCGATCTTGATGGGGATGAACTTCTCGTTCCGGCGCCTGGTAGACTCTCGGGCGACATTGGTGAACTCCTTGAGGTTTTCGTCCCAGGTCCGCCAAATCGCACCAGCGGTCTTCATAAGAGAACGAAATTCACGGTAGTCAAGGTGCAAAATGGTCCGGCCGTGGAGCAAGGAGTGAATCTGTTTGTCTAGGTCACCGGAGATGGCTTCCACAAGGGCAAGAGCACGCTTTATCGGGTAGGGACAGATCTTCAACTTCTTGTTAAGATGGTTGAAGATCAAGTTGAGAGACTCTTGCACCTTCTGCAGGGTAGTCGCCGAGAGGAGTTCGTCGAGGGGGAAATCCCGCATGAGCTGGTTGTATTTCTGCACAAGATCAGTTGCTTCGCGAAGACCTGTGTCGGCTACGAAACTAAGAGTGGCCTGATAACGCTTCGCGTGTCGGAGAATGTCCATTGTCAGTTGAACTCCGTCACCCCGCAACTGATTCTCAATTCCTTCAAGTGCGGTTTCCATGGACAGCCAGAAGTTGATCTCTTGGGCAGCCGAGTCGCTATCGGCATCGCGGGACATCTTGGTGATCGTCTGGATGGACCGAATCCAGGCATTCACAGTGTTCTGGATACTGTTGACAAACGTACTGTTCTCCAGGATAGCGGGGTCGATCAGTTCCACCGAGGGCTTGACTCCTCGCTTTTCTGCATCGACCAGTGCAGCCTGGACCACCTCATGCAGTGGCAGGTTCAACGCCGGGATTTCAACATTTTGCAGCAAATGCCGAAGCCCAAGTTCTAGTTCCGCGAATTTCTTCTTCGTACTAGATACGCCGGTCTTTGCCTCTGTATCCGTCCTGGGTTTTGCGCCACCAGCTGCCTCTTGGCTGCGTGTATTGGCTTCGAAGTAGGCATTCAGTCCGTGGTGCACCAGCAAGTGCAAGATCTCATATGGCGACTGAGATGCTCCTTGCTGGGATTGGGCATTGCTGAGCGATGCTGGACCAGGGAAGTTCACGACTTGGATCTGCGACGGTATAGGGAGCGACGGGTCAATGGCGGTGGGCCGTTTGATGAAAACTACCGTAGCGACTGTGGTCGAGGAGGACGAGATCTCGGCGGAAAGGTTGTAGACGTATTTGGAAGACAAGTCTGGATGCGTGAGTTTATATTAGTTAGTACGCTGTAGCTGAAAGCAGGGTATGCGCGGGGGCGACGTACCTTCACCTGTCTCCGTTCCATTCGCTTCGTCGGAGGCCACAACATCCTTCTGTACATAGAGGGCAACTTGCGACTCCGACGCAAATCGCGTACACCGCTGCACGGTCTCGTTGTATCTTGCTGGGGAGAGTAAACTGCCGGTGCTTTCGAGCTCACTTCTCAGAGCACCCAAAGTCACCCGCAGCACCTCGCTCAGGTACTCGATCACCGCATTTGAATCGACCAAAGGTGTTTGCGCTGGCGCAGGGACACCGTTTGACACCTCTGCGTTAGCGACCTCCATAGTTGGAACCCTATAAAAGATAGCTCGCAGAGCTCATAGAGGCCGACCGAAGGTTGTGACGGGGATTCACGACAGAATGCTGGTTTGTATGTTGACGGGAAATGGGCGCGGTGTCGGCTTCGGATGGGTAGGATTAAACGGGTGGGTTCAACGGATGGGGGAAAGAGGACAAAGAGAACGGGAGAAGATAAAAGTTGTACAAGATTGAAAGAAAGTAATCTAAGGGTTCATAATAAAGCTCCGTCGTCGTCTATTCCGCCAGTCGAGTTGGGTGGTGGTGAGTCGGGGGACGCGGCAGGCGTGTTTTCTGCTGCTGCTGGATGCTGCAGCGAGCCCGAGCGACGGACCAGAAAGAAAGTGGTACACTTCAGGGGGAACTGCCGCTAGGCTGAATGGGGCTTAGTGCGGCCCGGACAGCAGCGGGCGGGTCTGACGGCGTCCATGGATCTACTCTTAGACTAGATAGACTACCATCCACCTGTTACTCTCTACGTGGGTATCTAGTTTACTGGCACACAAATCTAAGGATGGAATAAGAAATAGACTGATTGATACAAACACTGCTGCTGGCACAGTCTCAAGATCCCTTCTGCATATTCTCTGAGTGGAGCCCCACCATTATCTGCTAGTGGCCCAAGCTGGTTTCACCGCATGTACTACTAAGCTCCTAGCTTTAATTTCTTTCAGATGGCCGTCCCAATGTCGAGTCTTGCCGAATCTCCTGACTCTCGACAATCACAGCGAAATTTCCTCTGGAATTCTGCAGACGATATTTCGTCTAGCACTGCCAGCGCCTTCTCACTGGCCTTGACTTTAGCATAGCGACCAGATGTTGCCGTACCTTCGGCGATGACAACATCATGCACGATCACGGCCGCTAAAACCCCAGCCGGGGCCCCATCGATACTGGGCATCTCACCAGCTTTTAGACAATAATTCACGCAGCCAAACTCATTAGTCAGTCGGTTGTGCAAGAAAGTCTAGTTCGGTTCAGTCATCCAGCCCAGATCACAATCAGTCAGGGTCAGCCTTACCGTCGGATGCTTATTCGCGAAGGTGTCATAAATTGCCATATCCTCGAAAAAGGGTTTAATGTAGTCCCGGAAGAATCTCTCAATTACCTCGAAGTTAAAATCAGAGTCAACAAAAACTGCCCCTACATACGCTTCAACCATGTCGGGCAAGCACTGTCCATCCACGTTAGCTGTATTCCGCAATGCAGAAGGCGTCATTACCTTAGGAGGGTCTTTAGTCACGGTCCAATAGTCCACCGCGCCCTCACTTTCGCCCTCCGCTGTCTGGATCTCTTCGGCGTACTGAGTAATCTGAGACTGCAACGGAGCGCTAAAATATTTTAGATGCGTATGGAGCCCCAGCTTCACAGCTAACGCACCCAGAAACTTGTTGGATACCATGGCCATCTATGACAGTACCGTTAGTGAAGGCTTAACTGCTCCTTGGTGTAATGAGGTTCTTACTTTGTGTTCTGTGAGCCACTGGGGGTCTCGGTCAGGGAATCTGGCAAACAAGTCTTCCACGCACACCATGTCAATCAGTGAGTCACCAAGAAACTCCAAGCGCTGATAGCAGGGCACTTTGGCCCATGCGGATGGATACGAAGGATGAGTGAAAGCTGATCCCAGAAGCGTTGGGTACCGGAAGCGGTAGCTCAGCTTCTCTTCAATTTTTCGAGAAAGGTATAGCTCGGCACCATCTGCTGCTCGCCGCTGATATTTCGGTATTGTATAGAAAGAAATGTAGTCCTTCCATCGCTCGGCTTTGTGGCTGGGACTATTCACCAGAGTAGTCACTGCTTTGACAGCCATGTCAAATCGATGGTCAGGACCACCGGAAAGCAAAGCCGCCCCTATTAAAGCTTCGCAAACATCGGCAATTGTTTTCTCTGCGAGGGCATGTTTGCTCTCTGTGGTTGCCTTTCTACTGTGATCTTTGCCTTGTAGCAACTTCAGGCCCTCTGGATACCATGTATGTCTTGCCGCATCTGTTAGTCTTTGGATTCATCTCGCACACACAGTACAATGATCCTTACCTTGAAAATCCTCGACTACGGATATACTTATAGATCTCCTTATCCACAGCTGCGTTGAAGAGGTTCTTGTTGCAGATTAGACACATCCGGTTCACGTGGTAGTCAAACTCATCGTCATCTGGGTTTTGCGTGAAGAGAGCAATCGAGGTAGCCATCTTCAGGAAGCAGTCCCCCAGAAACTCTAGACGCTCGTAGTTTCTTCCCATTCCTCGTTGGACATGGATCTGCTGGGCCCGGTGCTCGTCGGTATTATCGGAGTCTTTCGTGAATGCTTCAAGGGCAAGATCCAGCTTGACGGTAAAGTTCAGGCTCTCGCAGCCTTGAAGAGAAATAAGGTACGCATCAATTCTAGAGATAATTGCAGGAAATGCGAGACAGGAGAATGCTGTAGATGCAGGGATCTTCGCTAGGGCTCAGTAACAGCCTACTTTGTGTGGAAGAGGACAACTTACAGCAGATACTTTCAAAGGCTCAATACAGATGAAGCACCTTGTCTCCACATCTCTCTCGGTGTCTGTCATTTTGTCTAAAAGGTTTCTGCGGAGTCGTACGAGCTCTGCTCTTAGGACAGGTTGGTCCCAGTGACAGGTCGACAAAAACTTAGCCCTGGAGTTCTTTGAGAGACTCAGACAGTAATTCATGACATCGTTCATGTGTCTGCGCCGGGCTACAAATGGTGGTGGAGGAGAAGAGGGAGTCAGACTATGCTCGACCCCTACTGTGAAAAATCGGCATCGTCCATCCCAGGCATCGAACACGAATAGATCTACCCAGCTCTCTGGGTCTGCATTCGTAGAAAATGGAATACTATCGTTGTCGCGCACATAGGTGAGGCTCTCCCAGTCAAGAATCTGCCTTGGGTCATATGACGGGAGGTATGAGCTTTGAACCTTTGCCGGGGCCAGCCAGTAAGCCATCTTTTCGGGCTCTTTGTCGTAGGTCTTGTGGAAGACGTCACGAAAAACACGAAGAGTAAACACTGTGAGGGCGTCCACCTCTTTTTCTGAAAGTAATAGCTGTTTCTCCAAAGGAGTCGTGATTATTGTAGTCTCTACATCATCATCGAGGAAGATGGGAAACTCCGGAAAGTGTGGTAGTCTCTCTCGTGTGAATAGTAGCAAAGGTGCGGGCTCGTGCGATAGTTGCATCGATGGCAAGAACGTGATAAAAGTGCCATGAAGCTCCTTTGGTGGCATTCCTTGTTTCCGGCCCCACAACGACGGCTTCGATATCATGTCATACTGGCTGGTGCGCTTAGATGTTATTGCAAGTTTCGCATTACGCATTGCCGGAAGGCGGCGATGATATATCGAATTGAAATGGTCATCGAGCAACTTGTTTTTTCGAAGCAAGAGACAAGTATCAAAAGCCGCAGACCGCTTCGCAATGGACTTCTTCATTGCTGGGCTTCCTGTAAGACCCCGGATAGGTGATTTTTCAGGCAGAATTACTTCGCAGACAAAGGCACCGTTGATAGGAAGGACCACGTATGTTACTTGGGCGGAAAATTCCTTTTCGTATTGCTACAAATGGCAGCATGTTAGAGAGTAAAAGAAATACATGGTCGTTAAAGTCACACATACCAAAGAACTAGCGTAGCGAGCAAGTATCGCGGTTGCTGAATGATAGGTTAGCTTAGCACCTGTAGATTTGATTCTAAAGGTCCTGTTGCCCTCGTCTTTCTGCAACACTGTATCAAGGTCATGGTCAAACCCATATAGTAACCTATCTTCGGGAAGAGTTCTGCAAAAGCTTTGCATCATTTTCTGTCCTATTATTATCTAAATATAACTTCTTGCTCTTGGGAAACTTACTTCAGCATCTTGGACCTCAAGTAGCCTCTGCTCATGCTCCAAATTCCCTCTTTCGACCATACTCGCATACTAGAACCCGGGCATCAGAGTCTGCAACACACTTCTGGCATTCTGGTCTCACCGTTGAATTGAAATGTCTCGCACGCCCACGGCTTTGCACGTACTGGATCAACGTTTGATACAAGTCAAACCTATTCGATTAGATCAGGCACTTAGGTAGGTATCGGCAGAGTTACCAACATACCTAACGACCAGATTACAGTCAGGAATATCAAGTCCCTCTTCAGCGACAGATGTAGCAAACTAACATTGATCAGCAATTGATACACTGGGAGACAGATATGGGTATTTACCAAGCAATTGATCTCACCGGTTCTGAACTTGACCAAGGAAATAAATTGCTGACGAAACGTTATGTTCATTCCTGCTAAATCCCCAGACCGGACACCAATAAGCACACCAGGCCGAAGAAAAGGAATATTCAGGGTTTGAAAAAGTTCAGCCAGAATCAAAGCTGTGTAGCGCTTCTGCGTAAAGACAATGCATTTTGTTTCCGTCTGTCGTCCAAAGTAGCGGGCAAGCTCTTCACGAAGGACTTGCACTTTGGGGCTAAGTTGGCCAAAAGTCTCAGGACTGCTGAAAGCATAGCTCTTCACAATCTCACTAGCTTCCGTTATCCGCAAGATCTCCTTATAGGCACTTTCGGGCACATTGGATGATGTTTCTGAGTTTGCAGTCTTGCGAACACTACCTTCGAGTTTGGGCAACACATCATCTGCTAAAGCACGAGCCCATGCTCGATCTGAACACCATCGGCCTAGCTCAGAGCTGGCCTGCCAAGCAAATCTGAATATACCCTCCAGGCACGCCATGTCTCCAAAACGATCTTCAAGGTGCTTATACAGGCTAGTGGCGAACGGTTGCTCCAACTTGTTGAAGGACCATACTCTCTCCACTGGACGCCTGGCCACCTGCCGTAGAAGTGACATGTTGGACGTCGTAGCTATTCTACTGTCAAGCAACTTCTCAAGTCTTCTATTAATCGTTAGTATTTCATTTGATACTGGGGACCTGTTAACATACGTAGCTTCATCTACTATGTCACCTTTTGTGTCGATCGGTGATGCAGTCATTCCAAAGATCCTTGGGCGCTTTGAATAAACTTCTTCAAGGTAAGAATCACGTATAATGCTGAATTAAGATTAGCTTATGTATGTGTCTCATCTCAGATCATACACACCGTGCATACGGATGATCCTTTTTTGTATGGTGCGCTTCATCGAAGATTAGGATGTTGATCTGGCTCATCTTGATGTAGGAGTTGAGCAGACACTGATTCAAAATCTCCGCTGTACAGACAATCACCATGTTCTTTTGGAAGTGCTGATCCCAAACACTTTTGCTCCACAAGTCGGTTCCCATGGCCCCAAAGAAATGCCCGACACTCTGGTCCAAGTTATTGCGCAACACCGCGGCCTGTTGGTATGCGAGCGTGACACTATCTACCTGTTCCTGTGTCAGAGCATCTATTCCAGATCAGGAGGTTTCGAAGCGTACAAGGAAAAAGGCTATCCGATGTGGCTTCCCCTCCATGCGATCATTTAGTTCTTTCTCCAAAGTATGTTTGAGTAGCAGCACTGCAATTAAAGTCTTCCCGGAGCCTACATGCTAATTAGCTCACCTCACATCAAAAAGTTTCCGTCTCATGATAATACCTGTGTCAAGTACAGCGATTGTATTCTGCACTTTTGCTCTCTCAAATAGTTCCAATTGGTACTCTCTTGGGTCCAGCGTACCAATTCCGAGATCTTGTTTTGCTACCAAGTGAGCAGTGGAAAGCTGAGCGTCCGGCAGATCATGGGTGACACTGACATCGTGGATGGGGCCTGTATCAGCACGCTGTGCAAGACTTGATAGATATTAGCATTCTTGTATGTATGCTCAGATTGTAGAGATTCAGGTACTGACAGGGCTTTAAATTTTGCGTTTTGGGTGATCCGTTGCTGTGAAACTCCTGTTTTGCTGTGGTCTTCGCGCTCGTCATTGTCGGATTCATCTGATGATCCGTCATCTTCCTGGAGATCCTCAGTCATGGTCACGGCGCACACTTTCATTGTCTCCATGGGTAAATGCTGATCAGGCTTATAAATATCGGAAGTTATCCTCATATCGAAAGCGTGAGCTGATGGCATTGTGGTCTTATCCTACAGTTAGTTTTGAAGAAGACAGATTCGCAATGCTGAATAACAAATCTAAGATGAGATATGGCTTTATCTCTCTGAGTAACCAGTGATTGAAGGTATGATCAAGTCAAGAACGATGTGAATGTTTCACTGGGGGCAGTCACTGGCAGCCGGTAGTCGTGTCACAAACGGTGACAAACAGCGGAAGATGGAGACCTGCTATTACTTGAATCTCAGCTAGTTGGTCAGAATTGATCTGTGTGACAGCTATTGGGTGAACGAGCTGGTAGTAGTTGTGGGAGCAATTAAACAAAGACATGATTCATTGAGGTACTGCCATAACAGGACTACTAGTAGAGTCGAGTAGTAATAAGTTCTACGAGTATGTCACTATATATACCTCCAAAAGGGAAGCACCGCGGGGCAAAGTCTGTATACGCGGGGCAACCCATGCATGGTTTCTGCCGGAGATTGCAGTGTAAAACTACGTTTTTCCCCTGGTTCCAGTACAGATTTCTCAAAACAGTATAATACAACCCAGTCGTTTCGAGGTAAATCTGCTTCTGACATTCAGAGATCAACCATGCTTGATGGTGTGTACATATCACATGACTTGAATCATACCGTGCTTAGCTTAGTGAGGTGGATACTGGGCAGTAATTCATGTCAGAAAGAAACGCCGGTGTATGAAACAGCCCTCATATCTGCCGATCGGCAGTCATTCTCCAGCGATCTTTTGAATTCATACAACATACCCCTCACAATCCCGCGAAGCAGCGCAATGGAGCAGCCGCAAAATCTACGATCCCTCTTTGCGGAAGCGAAAGCTGAAAAGTCTGCTTTGGAAGCCCGCCCCGACAGCAACACAGATGCGTACCGCAGTGATGTCAACGCAACAATAGCCAAGCTTGAGAAATGCCAGCGGCTAGTGGGCTTGCTGTCTCTGTTCAGCTCGAACGAACCTCTGGAGGACATCTCCACTACAGATATCCAGTATAGCTATGACATACCTAGCTGAGCTGCATGAGAATGCGCTAATTTCTTTCCTACCTCCAGATACCTTACTGTAGAATATCATCTCGCAGACCTTCTCCAAAGAACCTACAGCTCGGACCGCGAAGCTCTCCTCCGACGTGCGCTTGGGCAATATGAACGCTTCCTCGCCCGACTAGACGACTACGACGTCCTCAACGAAAAAGACAAGAAGCTTTATGAGCGTTACACCTCTAACCCCTCCTCTTTTTCCCTGACTACAACCAATGATGCTGCGACCCGCCGAGAAGTGAAGATAAACCGATTCAGGGAGGAGAAGGAGCTGAAGCAGAAACTAGAGGTTGGATAGGCTTTGCTCACTCTCTACTAATGGGCGATCTAACTTACACTATCTCAAGTATTTTGCGAATAACCAAAACCGGCTACAAAGCGACGATGAGGACGTCCGGAAACTCTACATCGCCGAGATCAACCTCTACATCCACCAATCGTTCCAGTCCTTGGATCTGCTGTCGCAAGAACTGACCATGCTGTCAACCATCCGCAATGCCGCACCAAATCCCGCAGATCCACTGCAGGATGATCCGCGTCGGCGGAATCAGACAAGCGAGTCGAGCTACTCCGAACGGTTGGATCCCCCACTTGCCGAACTGCTCAGAGGAGGGAAGTTCGGACCTATTTTAAGCAAGGAGGGGAAGCCTATGCAGCCCTTCACGTTGCTTGATCGCAGGACGCAGCTTCAGCAAGGGGTTTTCCGATCGGGACATAATCTACCCACTATGACGATTGATGAATATCTTGAAGAGGAGAAAAGGAGGGGTAATGTCATCGAAGGGGGGGGAGAGAAGTCAGGCATGAAGCCTGAGGTTGACGAAGATGATATGGATTTGGCTGATGAAGAAACAATGAAGGCCAGAGCTTGGGATGAATATAAAGAGGCGAATCCAAGAGGCTCTGGCAATACCTTGAATCGGGGTTGATATGCATGAAACTTATATATATACCTCTAACTGCTGTTTGGCCATCTTATATTGGCCGGTGTGATACGAGCACCAAATGATAGAATACTGCGCAACCGGTCGTGAATCTCCCAGATAGCCTGTTCAGCAGTGTAAATGACAATTAGTTTCAGCAGACACGTAACACCTTTCTTTTTTCATATGGGGTATCCATCTAAATATGTCCATTGTATCATCATATCTCCCGTGAAGGAGAAGACCAGCATCTCCAGCACATAGTCTTTACAGCCTCTATACCTAAGCAGTCTGCTTGTTGCGCTGGATTTCGTCCAGGATCTTGCCCGCGCCCTTCTCAACCAATGCCTTAGCCACCGTAACACCGAACTCTTCCGCAGCCTGAGGCGAATCAACAGCCCCATCAACCTCAACCTCAGCGCTCTCCTTGCCATCCACACTAACCACAATGGACCGCATCGTCAAAGCACCATTAACCCATTCGGACTCAACACCCAACGGCGCACTGCATCCACCTTCAAGGGTACGCAGGAGGCTCCGCTCTGCCAAGCAAGCAAAAGTGGTCTCCTTGTGGCCGATGTTCTGTAGCATATCCAGCACCTGCTGGTCATCCTTCCGGATCTCAATGCCGAGAGCACCCTGACCGACAGCATAGAGCATTCCTCCGTTCTTCGAATCCAGATAGCTGGTGATACGATCGCCCAGATCCAATCTCAGCAAACCAGCAGCAGCCAGGATGAGGCACGTGAAAGGGCCATCCTCTGCATCTAGCTTCGACAACCGAGTGCCAATGTTACCGCGCACATCCATAACTTTGAGGTGGGGGTAGCGACGGGCGAGTTGGGCGGTCCGACGGATGGATGAAGTGCCGACGACGGAGCCTTCTGGCAGCTCGGCCAGACTTGTGTATGAAAGGCCCTTCTTCATGACCAGGACGTCTCTTGTGTCTTCGCGCTTCATCATAGGGCCGAGGGTGCAGGAGGAGGGGAGAAGAGTCGGCACATCTGTAATGATAGAGATAAGTTAATTTTGTCACTTTGAGCGAGATAAAGAACGAGTGGAAACGCACCCTTGAGAGAGTGTACAATGAAGTCAACCTGGCCAGCGATCAGAAGGTCCTCCAGTTCCTGGGTCCACAGGTTCTTGGTCGTAAAGTCACGGAGCGCAATGGTCGTGTTCTGGTCGCCTGCGGTCTCTCGGGAGTGAATCTTGAATTCATAGTCCGGCCATGTTTGCTTGAGCGCCGCTTGAACCAGGTCTGTTTGAAGCAGAGCAAGCTTGGACTTGCGCGTGCCAATGGTGAAGGTCTTGCGCGATGAGGGGTTGGTGGCGTGGGGCGGGGCAGAAGACATTGTGACGATGGTTGGTGTATGCAGGGAGCGATTGGATTGATCAGTAGATAGTGGAGTTGAGATGTATATTGCCTTAGTTCAGACGAAGGATATCGCGAGCGTTAAAGTACTAAGCAGAAAAGTGGGCAGCACGACTCTAAAGCACTGAGGGGAAATGTTTCACGGACAATCTTGACATTTGACGCTGGGTATTTTACTCGGTATTTTGCGTTTGTCATACGACTCGGCCCAGCCCCGGCGGTAATTATACACCCGGGTAATGTTACCGGATGAGGAGACACCGCCTTTCCTGGGGGTCTCGTGCTTCTGGGGCGTGGGTGCCCCAACACGCTGCTTAGCACCGGTCAATTTACTTTTCCTCGGAGTTTCAGTAGAGAAAATACGGAGTAGACTGATCACAATGTCTTCAGGGATTCACAGCCTGCCATGGCATGTTCTGGAAGAGCGGAAGCTGTGCTGCAGAACTCCGGTTTCCGCAGACGGGGGATTGACGTTGCCCCGTGCGAACCTCGGCATCGGCGAGAAGGGCGCTTATCGGATTGGATCTCCTCCCCAGAGTCACGCCTTCATCTATCGACGGGGTTCTGGAACAGTGGAACCTCACCTCTACTAGTTGCCTTATAACCCGACCGCCACGACAGCCCCGTGCGCTGTCTACCTGATCTACCATCGTTCTTCAGACGACACCAACCTTTCATATCACCTCTCATCACCTTTCATCCTGTTATCGCCACTGAGTGTGTGCCTTTGTGTCCTGGCATACCGAGATGGGTTCCAACAGCGGCAGAACAACCAAGCTCCCCTTGGTCCCGCTGCCCAAAGGATCGGTCCTACTTCCTGGCATTACGCTACGTATTCCTGTCTCGAATCGCCCGGATCTCGCCAACTTACTTTCGACAATCGTTGATCGATCAGCCGTGGCGAAGCGCGATGGAACGGCTATCACTTTCGGATGCGTTCCCCTCAGTTCACCGTATCTTAGCAAGGACGGTCAACGACTCATCGACGATGGAAGCTTGGATGAGGACCGGAGAGAGGAGTTTGATATGATTGATGCTGGACAATCCAGAAAGGAGGATTTGTTTCGACATGGTACCATTGGTAAAGTGATCGGTATCCAGCGCCGGGCCTATTCGGAGCCGGCTCTTGTGGTCCAGGGTGTCCAGCGGTTCACCATCAGGCGCGTCCTGAAGGAGAGGCCGTTTTTCGAGGCTGAAGCTGTTGTTCATGATGAGAAAGGTCGGTTTTCTTTCATTGCCCTGCCCTGTTGTTGCTACTTCTTATTTGGACGATTGCCTAATCTGGTTATTTCTAGAAACAGTCTCCGGCGATGCTGAAACAGTGGAGTTATTTCAACAGCTGCGACAACTTTCTCGCGAGCTCCTGACCTTGCTGCGACTGTCTTCGTTGCTGCCATCTCCGGGAAGCCGCCTGTCCCCACTCATTGCCCGGAAATTCGAGCTGTTCATAACCAAGTCCGATGTCTCCCATGCAAGTAGACTAGCCGATTTCATGGCGGACGTTGCTGACTCCGGCTTTGAAGAGAAGCTTCGCATATTAGCGTCGCTTGACGTCAAAATAAGGCTAGAGAGAGTTGTGGAGATCCTAACTAGGCAATTACAGAGCATTAAGAGCAATGTGAAGGTCACAACAATCACCACCAACAGCTTTCCTAGCTCTGGGTTTGATATCAATCAGATCGATCCCCGTGACCGCGAGATTCTGGCAAGGAAGGCGATGGCTGGTCTCAGCGGACTGACGCCACCCGGGTTGTCAGCCGGTCGAAACAATGACAACGATGACAAGGAATCAAACGAAGTCGATGAGCTGCAGCAGAGACTGCAAGAGGCCCAGCTTAGCCCTGAGGCTAGAAAGGTTGCCGACAAGGAGCTGCGACGTCTTCGTAAAATGAACCCGGCAAATGCTGAGTACGGTGTCTGCCGGACCTACCTCGAGAATATTGCGGATATCCCATGGACTAAGATGACCGAGGACCAGCTTGGACCGGAGACATTGAAGAGAGCCAGAAAACAGCTAGACGATGATCACTACGGTTTGGAGAAGATCAAGAAGAGACTTCTTGAGTACTTGGCCGTGCTCCGACTCAAGCAGTCTACCAACAGAGATGTCGAGCGCCAGATTGAGTCCTTGTCGAAAGAGCTCGAGGCATCCGATGGAGGCGATCTTGAGAAGGAGGTACCTGTTCTGTCCGAGACAGATCGAGTCGCTGTTGAGACAAAGCTGCACATGCTGAAGACTCGCCGCATGGGAGACAAGTCACCCATCCTCCTGCTTGTTGGTCCACCAGGCGTTGGTAAGACCAGCTTGGCACGATCAGTGGCCTCATCGCTCGGTCGCAAGTTTCACAGAATCTCTTTGGGGGGCGTTAGAGACGAGGCTGAAATCCGAGGCCATCGGCGAACCTATGTTGCTGCGATGCCGGGACTAATCGTCAGTGGTCTCAAGAAGGTTGGCGTTGCTAATCCAGTGTTCTTGCTTGACGAGATTGACAAGGTCGGAGGCGCCAATTTCCAAGGGGACCCATCCGCAGCCATGCTTGAGGTGCTGGATCCTGAGCAGAACCATACATTCTCGGATCACTACATCAACATCCCTATTGATCTGAGCAAGGTGCTTTTCATTGCCACTGCCAATTCTTTGGACACTATCCCGGCACCCCTGCTTGACCGGATGGAAACTATCTCTCTGTCTGGCTACACCACGGTTGAGAAGCGACACATTGCCAAGAGACACCTCATTCCCAAGCAAATCAGGGCGAACGGGCTTTCCGATGGTCAGGTCGTTCTGTCTGACGAAGTAATTGACAAAATTATCACGTCTTACACCAGGGAGTCGGGTGTTCGTAACCTAGAGCGTGAGCTTGGCTCGGTCTGTCGGTTCAAGGCTGTCCAGTTTGCGGATGCGGGCGATGCAGGCCGACTTGATGCGTACAACCCCGTGGTGAGCATGGACGAGTTGGAAGAAATATTAGGTATCGAGCGCTTTGAGGAAGAAATTGCCGAAAAGCATGGCCGTCCCGGTGTTGTCACTGGACTTGTCGCGTATTCCACTGGAGGTCAAGGCAGCATTCTGTTCATCGAAGTTGCAGACATGCCAGGCAACGGCAGGGTCCAGCTCACCGGAAAGCTGGGAGACGTGCTGAAGGAGAGTGTAGAGGTAGCCTTGACGTGGGTCAAAGCCCATGCGTTCGAGCTTGGGCTGACCGCGGACCCCACCGAGGATATCATGAAGAACCGCAGCCTGCACGTTCACTGCCCGTCCGGAGCCATCCCGAAGGATGGTCCCTCGGCAGGTCTAGCACACACGATGGGTCTGATCTCGCTATTCACCGGCAAAGCGGTGCCTCCCAGTGTTGCAATGACCGGAGAAGTGTCGCTCCGCGGCAAGGTGATGCCTGTTGGTGGCATCAAGGAGAAGCTGATCGGTGCGCTGCGCGCCGGCGTCAAGACTGTTCTCTTGCCCCATCACAACCGCAAGGATGTCAAGGACGTGCCGCAGGAAGTCAGTGAAGGACTCGAGATCGTATATGTAACGTGAGTACTTTAAAATTCCGTTCTTGCTGTTGCATATTGCTAACACTTGACAGGCATATCTGGGAAGCTATCCGACAGGTGTGGCCCGATGCCCACTGGCCTGGTCAGCACACCCACTTCATCGAGAGCCGGCTGTAAGGGCTCTTAATTCATTCACTATATAATCCCAACACGACAGAATGGCCCGTGTAGATAGTACTTCTGCTTTGTTGTTTGTTCTCTTATTGTCCTTCAAAGCGCAGCGACCACTTTCCTTTACAAGCGTTAACATATCCTCTATTCCACACATATTTATGTCAGTTACAACCGAATACTATATTTATTTCACCCTGCTCATCCCAGACACAATGATAGTATTGAACACAAAGTAGGTAATATAATATAATACACGACGACAGCATCAATCACAAACTGTCTAAACCCAGCCAACAAATGATATACCAAACAAACAATTTCTAAACCAGCATATCAACGAGAAAGAGAAAATCACGACTTAACCAACGGCCTCTCATAATGCCCCAACCCCAAAGCCTTCCAAGTCGGCCTCCACGGCTTAGCACCCTCCAACAACTTCTTCGCATCCTCCTTATAGACCTCCCTCTCCTTCTCATCCGCCTTCATCCCCGCATCCGGCTTCTGCTTATCCTGGATCTCCTCCTGGTATTTCTGAGCCTTGAAGAACTGGTCCTTCTCCCATCTGCACACAAACACCCATATAGTCAGCATTGTTTCCACAACCCACCAATCCTTCAACAACAATGACAACAACAACAATATCAAACAGATACATAGAGAGGGTAACATACGGAGCCATATCCGTCGGCGCCTCGGGCCAAACAAATGCCTCCTTCATCTCGACCGTCATCTTCTTCTTAGACTGCGGGCGACGGATCTTTCCATATCCATAGCGACCCAGGGACTTCAACCTCGTCAGTTTCTGCTGTTCGACGAATGAGCGCACGCTGACGACGCCCACGCCGTACAGACGCTGCAGGTAATCGCGCATATCCAGTTTGTTGAAGTTGAGCGGCACGTAGAAGGTGGCGTAGCGGGGGGGAAGGAAGGGCGTGCGGATTAGGGCGATTGTGAAGTCGGGACTATATCAGTTATTTCAGATTGTCAGTCATCTGGTACTTGTTATTGGTAGGGGAATGAATAGAAAAAGGTTTGGTATGGAAAGTATAGGATGGCGTACAGGAAGATCTGCTTCCGTTGGGAGAGAGGCGCCGCGGGGCCGACCCAGTCGGCGGGCTTTTTGGGGAACTTGGAGAATCGTCGGACCATTTTGGGTTAATTGAATGTGTCCGATTAAGGTGTGGAAAGTGGTGACGGGGAGGGAGGGTTGTGATATTCGGAGGGAAGATTGATTTGATATGCCCGGCGGAAAGTTCGTCGGGAGCAAACGTGAAATTGCGCGGTTGGCCGCGTCGGGTGCCGTAGTGAGGTTTGGGTGTGGTTTTTGGTCGGATATTTTGAAAAAGGTCCTGAAGATAATTTAATTAAATGGGATTTGAGATTTTGGACAATCTAATATTTGGCTGAATGAGAAATATTTTATATTCGTCATGGTCATTACTATCATTTACTGGTGTGCTGCCTACTGCCCGTCTGATACTTGCAGGTTCCCAAGTCGCCGGGCACTCTCGTCCACCTCCTGCGATTGTTCGCGATCATCCTCCTCCCCTTCAGAGCCGGAGCCTTCTTCCTCTTCCTCTTCCTCCTCTTCGTCACTTTCCTTGTCTTCGTCGTTGTCGCCATTGGCGCCAACCTCCTTCATATAATTCTCCAGCTCGCGCGCCATCTTCCTCGAGAATCCTGACGCCTCAACTTCCACATCTAACCGCTTCCCGGGGTTCTGGATGAGCTGCTTCCTCGCATCCTTGAAGAAAGGGCCGGGAGAATCACTGGTGAAGTGAAACTTGCGCTGGAAGTAGCGCTTGATACAGTTGACATCACGGTCAAAGTACATCTCCGCATTGGGGTGGTCGATCGACACCATCTGCGGGAAATCAATCATGACTGGCACCAGCCGGATATTCTCGTCATCCTCGTCACCCTCACGGCCCTTCCCCTTGGCATCCGGGTCCTCCTCTTCCTTGATAAGAATGTTGAACTCGTTGAAGTCACCGTGAATCAGACCAAACCGCGCCAGCTGCACGATCATATCCATCAGCTCCGAATACAGTGATGCGGGGTTGGCGACCTTGGAGATCTGTCGTAGCGGAAACGCATCGATCAAGCTCATGACGATTGTGTGGCGGTTCTGGGCAATAGGCTCGGGGACTGAAAAGCCATTCTCTCGGAGGGCTTTCATAAATGCATATTCCTTCATCGCGGCAAGGCGCGACATGTACATCCACGAGCCTGTGCTACGGTGTCGGAGGTAGTCGCGGTTTGTCTTGACGGTGCGGAAAGAGATACGACCGAGACGGTGGATCTTCAGAATGCGCTGTGTTCCCTCGTGGCTGGCGACGACGATAATGTCGGATTCCTTGCCAACGCCAATCTGGTTGCCGACAGAGTAAATGCACTTTTGCTTCTGGTGGGCGTTGAGGGCGAGGTAGTCGAGACCTCCGTAGGTGAGACGATATCCATCATCTAACAAGCACATGTCAGTAAATGATTCGCCTATACTCAATTCCGTATAGCAGTAAAGGCGACAACCGTACATTTCGCATTCTTGACCTTAGCGATCAGGTTGGTCTTGGCGAGGTTGGAGATAGACCGGTGCACTCCGCTACCACCGCGGAGGCCAGCAATCTGCGCGATCAAAGGCGTGGGTACGACCTCATGATTTCTGCTTCCGGTTTCAACCTGCGACACAATTCTGTTAGCTGTCAGACAACACGCTGCGACCAGAGGGCGGGGGAGGGGCATACCGCGGAGAGCACGCGGAAGTCCTCAGACGTGAGGTAGCGGATCGCTTTCGGATCGAGCTTCATGATGTAGTGTATTCGATGCCGTAATCAGCTCACAAAATAAGCTACGGACTGCGTATAGCGTGGAGCGTGAGTCTGCGCTGTCGATGAAGGCGTCGACCACTGCATTGATGCGCGGAAAAGTCAAGATGCCGCTGCCCTATGCCCTAGTTTCCTATTTTGGATGCCTCCAAGGTCCTACAGAGAATATAGTCCAGGATAGCTAGATGTTCAACGAATATACCGAACCTAGAATAAGAAAAGTGTAACAAATCCCCATATTAGTGATGGATAGTAGAACCGATGATCTGCCTGATGCATGAATTCTGAAGTCGCTCATCGCTTTTTGATTCGCGTGTACTAGTACTGCAGGAGTCTAGCGCTACAGAACATAGTATTATATATATCTACGGACAGTGTCAAGGAACAACGCTTGAATCACTCTATGATATAGTGTAATAGTACTACTAGTTATCATTAACCTTATCGGCGAAAGAACCTATTTCAATTGAGGTTTCTCAGACATATATAAGCCTAGAAATCATACTAGCAATGATCACCCGTGCCACATCCACCAGTTCTAATTGATAGATCGAACATAATGACAATCGGTGCCTGCTATTTTCCAATTCGTGCTGATTACATGAAATCACAGTACCTGAGCAATATGCCCCTTGCTCAGCTCACCCACAAAGTCGTGTCACGTCGAAGGACCCTTAGACCGAGTCGGAACTTTCCCAGTTGGGGTTCTGTCATAGCATTAGCATTATGCTTCATCATATTAGTAGTACGGAAGATTTACCTTGCGCAAGATGACCAGACCCTCCAGGGTGCTGCTAAGAGGAATGTACTGCTCGTCTTCGAGCTCTGCACGTTCGCCATAGGCCAGCAGCACCGGCGTGCTCTGTGTTTGCCAGCCGGTGATGGTCTTGGGGCGACCCGCCTGGCCAACAACGTCCACAGCCTGACCGACCCGGACATTGACGGTGAGAGGCTGCAGGTCTTCGTCGAGCGTGACAAGGAAGCGTGGGTACATGGCGGTGATGAGGAAGTAGAGGAGGTAGTGGTGTTCGGCGAGGACGAATTGCTTGGCATCGATCATGGACACCAGGACGGTGAGCAGGCCTGCGGCTGATACGCGCGAGAGGACCTGGCGGTCTGTGTGGAAGGGGTTCAGGGTCATTGTACCCTTGCCCATGTGCAAGAGACCTTGGGCAATGCGGACCATGAACAAAGTGTTCTGGTCGCGGTGGTAATAACTGGCCAGCTGCCTAAGCAGCTGTGCCAGACGGGCGTTCTTAGTACCAGCACCGCAAAGACCCATGGCAAAAATGGCGTTGATTGCGACATCGTTGTCGGTATCGTGACTGTACCGGGACAGGGTGTCATAAACCTTCATCTGAGGGTTGCTGGGTGTGATCAACCCCATAGCAAGGGGAACAGCCTTGCGGATGTTGCTGGCGCCGTAGTGCATTAGGTGGCCGAACTGCCGCAAGATCATATCCTGTCCGACCTCCTCACCCATAGCAATAAGTGACAGACCCAGAACAGCATACGACTGGACAAGCTCATCACCCTTGTTTTCCTCGGTCTCATCAATGATATCATTGCAGATGTGAAGGAGCTCCTGCAGTTTCAGGACGGTGCCAGTACCCGCCCAGGCGCAGACCGAAGCGAGGACTGAAGTCGGCTTGGCCATAGGGTGATCGACCGCCTTCAGGATGTCAAGGATGACGTCGACCTCCTCCTGACGACCGAAGTACAGGAGCGCCAGACCCAGGGCCATGAAGCGAGTCCACTTATCCTTGAGGTGCTTCTGCCGCTCTTCGTCCATCAGTGTGGTGGCAATGGCCTCACTGACCTGGTGGTTAGAAGATCCCACAAAGATAAGACCCAGGGATACAGCTGCCATGGCAGACAGCTGCATGTCCAAGGACCCATCCTCAACAATGGGGAGTAGGACCTCAAGCAACTCCTCCTTGTTTGATCCGGCATAAGCCAGACCAAGACCCATGATAGAAGCAACTCTCATGGGCACACTCTTGGCCTCGAGATTGTCGGGGTCACTGAGAAGAGCCAGAGCAGGGTCGGAGTCTATGCGCACTCCAGAGTTGAGGATACCGATAGAAAGCAATGCACCAGCCTTGATCTGATCCTCCGAGGCATAGGTATACCTGTCGATCTTATCCAGACCAATCTCGACATCCCTGTGCAGAAGCATACCCATCGAAGCCGTTGTCGACAGCATGCCGTCATCCTTTGTCTTCCAGACCCAGGGGCCCTTGTCACCCTCCACAAGCATCATCTTATCGTTGCCATACCCAGCGTTGGCGAATGCGTTGACGAAGGCACTGGCAAGATTGTGCCTGGCGGAGTCGACATTCGTAAGGCCAGCACCGCGGCTGCTCTCGAGGTGCGTCTTGTAGATGTCTTCCGGCATCTGGGGATCAAGGATGTTGAGCTCCTTTCCAAGAGACTTGAAGTGCTTGGGGATGGAGGTGTTGTTCAAGCAGTCCATGAAGGACTGGTCTTCCTCTTCCTCAGGCAGGTCAAGCCATATTTGTTGCCTGGAAACAAGGAACGCCATCTGCTTCTTGAGGGACCTGTCCGAAGTGGCATTGAGATCGTTCTTAATGAGGTCAATGTCGTTCAGACGGATAGCAAGAACAATGGCCTTGGTGAGCTCCTTGTAGCGGACATAGATCTCATGGGCGGTGCGAAGGAATTGCTGGTCTTCGGGGTATGTGAGGAGATTGACCATGCTGACCATGTACAAGCAGACCCTTGCGTATGTGTTTTCGTCCAAAAAGCGCGGGATCTCCTCGATGATCTCAAGCTCACTGAGAAGGTCGACGGCATCGGCTTCGGCGTTGTGGCTCAGGAAGTACGGAACAAGAGACAGCGACAGATCAATCAAGTCCTGTACATCCTTTTCAGCATTCAGCCTGTTTTGGTACTCTTGACCGATTTCCAGCGCCAGGTGTCTGATGTATTCGTGGCCCCAAGAACCGAGGTCTTCGGACTTGGTGAGAAGGCGGTACTTTAGGGTCTCGAGCTTCTCCTCATCTCCGTAGGTCATGCCAAGAACTGAGAGCATATCGGCCAGCGAGTCCTAGAGAGACATGCATGGTTAGGTTGATAGAAGGGTCTGCATGACGGGCAACGAACCTTAACCGGGCCAACTGCCCACTTGTCATAGAGCTCTGTGAGCTCATCATAATGCGGTCTTAGAAATTTCAAAGGCTTGGGAACGGCAGTCATAGAAGATGTCGAGGTCTTGATGAAGTTCTTAATTGCGTCCAAGGCAGGGGCGTACAACGAGGTATCGGGCTCCTAGATGGCAGGTTGAGAGTTAACGTCATCGCT